CACTGTACAAGCACTTTATCACACTCAGCTTTCGTGCTTACCATCAGCTCACTTAACCAGTTCATGGCCGACGCTGAAACAAATGGACACAGGCTCACCTGCCTTCGTGGTGATCTTTTCGAAAAGCAGATGTGCTAGGTCGTTCTGCGTATGACTGTGCAGAGCTTGGCATCGTGGTGACTGCGCTTCTTCCTGGCTTGATTGAATGGCCCGAGACAAAGCAATTGCGACACCCGGGCTCTGAAAAGCATGCGTATATTCTGCTTATGGTCAGGGCAGGTTGAGCGAGAGTTAGTCATAATGCCAATCCAATACATGAATTGAAGCCAGACAGAAGCAAGACTCAGGAAATCGGAGGTATTCTTCTATACGTTCATTTGCCAACGGGGGATAGCACGGTGTGCAACGTAGACAAGTGGTGAAGGCTGCAATCTGCTGGAATACTTAGACTGGAAGAGTCCGAGAATCAGCACTGCTCAGACGGCTGCCGAAGTACTGGTTCTCGATATAGACCTCGGATGCTCAACTTCCCGTATGGCTCCGGCAGGGCTGCCAGTGCCAAGTCACGCTCCGAGAAGCTTTGGAAATCATCCGGCGGTGCTCCTGTTCTGCATCTACGTCACAAGGCAGCAACGTGGAAAATGAGGCAACCTGGAAGATGTCTGCCACGACTTCACTAGCTCCCAGCCACATGTCACTTCCTGGTCAGCACAAAGTCACTGCCACTGGCAGCAAACCACCAAACAATGCACACATCCCTCTTCTCAGGCCCCAGAAAAAGCCTTCGAGGAGGAGGCGGCACTTGTTCTGTGCCTACAGGCTTGCTTCGCTAAACAATTCGGCCCAACACTTCATCCGACTGTGCATTTTGCTTGGCTGCTAGTGACCCATCCAAGCTAGGCACTGAGGTCAGCGACGCTTTATTCCTCAAATGCTGGATCTGCAGCGTGGCGCCTGCCGAGCAAGACCAGCAACTGCTTCATTTGAATGGCCCCCTATGCCAGATCTAAGCTCAGTGTCCTCAAGCCATCTCAAGCTGCAAGAGACATCAGCCTCTAGTATGCAATTAGGATCAACCACACCCGCTCCTGCTAAGACCACCTCCTGCGGAACGCTGGTTCGAAAGTTGATGACAGGCCAAGTCCTCAAGCAACTTTGTTCAGGACGGAATCGCCTAAACCCGAAATTGAACTGCTTGGTCTAAGAGGGGTCGCTATCCGGCATGGAAACCGTACCTGAACCCTCCCTTTCCCGTTCGTGTACGAGGCAGCGGCCACGAGAAGTGCTGGCAAAAGCAGCCTTTGCCTGCCAGCTTCTGTGGGTCATACCTCGGAGAAAGGATCGTTTGACCTTTGTACCCCCTTTGGAGCCAAATCCAGCCTAGCTGCTCCTTCATCATCTTCTCAGTCTTGCACGCCGCATTTTTGCCCGCAACATATGCATCTCCCTGCGCACCATCGACAGCCCAAGTCAAAGGAGTTGCATTTGCCGACCCTTCACGGATTGCATGGCCAACGTGGTCTGACACACGCGGTACTGCTAAACCCCAAACCCTAAACCTGAAATATTCAACAACCAAACCCCCAGCCCCAGACCCCAAATCCTGAACGATGAGCCCTAAATCCTGAATCATAAGCCCTTTGCTTAGTGGGTACTACATGGGCCTAAGCAGACGGCAGACACAATCTGACTGGATATTTACGGAATCCCTGCTTTTAGCATTGAGGTTTGAGGATTTGGCAGTACTCCTACGTACAACCTGGGGGTGCCTTGCGGGGGTAGCTACATCCAGAACATTCCAGAACCAAGCTTGCTTCATTAATTTGACATCACAGGCAAGACCGGCCAAGCCGCAACATACAAGTCCGACACAAGTAATCACAAGATATCCTTCCAAGCATACACACTCCATTTAGGACCATGGAGTCCAGATTAGCCAGGGCCTTGCACTCGCATTCCTTCGACAGCATTCCTGTAGCTTTGCTCCCTCCATGAACTAAACTGCAAGCATCTCCTGCCCGCATGGGACAATGTTCATCTTTGCCGCAATCACAGTTCTATTGAGGGTGATAAGTGATAAGTCCTGCACTGAAGCCGGATGAGGGCAGAGGATCGTCAAAGAGGCCGCCTCCATCAAGTGAAGTAACAGCAGGCCCTCTGCAAGGCCATTCTTTAAGCCAGCTCTTCTGATAGGGTTGCAAGGGTGCCTTGATCATGAAACCACCTAGTGACACACACTCAGGAGTAGTCTGCCGGTGCCTTTTGAAAGCTTAACGCGGATCTTCAGCAAGGACCGCTTGGACAAATCCCGCCGGGAGCCAAGCTCCAGCACAGCAGAATGGCCAGGAGCCGTCAGCTTCGCTGCCTCAGAGTTAAAAGCGGCCCTAAGGCTTCTTTTGCAAGAGTCTGTGAGCGCCACCAGCTGGTTGTAGCCGCCATCAACCGTGAGCTTCACTTTCTCTGTGCCTTCTGCCTTGCCAGGTTCACAGCATGCCTGCAATGTCCAAGCATGTCAGCATGTCCTGCCTTCGATATGAGCTTCACTGAGAGTGCGCCCAAGGAAGTTGGCCGCGGCCTGTTCTTGTCCTTGCACCTTAGGCACAAAACTGCCTCCCATGACCATTGTTCCTGCGCAGGATTTCGTATGTTGTGGAAACGCAAGCCGACAGTTGGCTGCATTTGAGTCCAGCCTGCTCAACATATTACTTGCAATGGCGATTCCCGTCAACTTCCGTTTCATGTTGCGAGCAAGGCACGGCCCGCTGGAGTAGGAGATTGTACGGCTCCTTAGCTGTGCTCCTCTCCTGCGCGTGAGAGAGTCCATCACTCCTCTCCCGGTCTGCGGCACGGTCTATCTCTGCAGCTGCCAGATCGACAAAGCCAGCCAAACTCCTCTTGACAAGTCACTCGCAGAATGTCCACCATCTCTCGACCGCCACCTTTGCATAAGTCCAAGCCAAAACAGCTGGGTTTGAGACATCAAGAGGTTTCTTTGAAAGCAGCAGGGATAAGGCTTGACAGTGGGAGACAGCATGAGGACCCAATTAAGATCTGCGCTGTCGCCAGGTCTTCGGCTGCATCACCGGTAAACTTCACCATCATGTCCTCCCTGATTCACAGCACCATGGCTTCATCCAGTCCACGTCAGCACGGCAATCGTTGCACAGATCAGACGCTGAGCTTTGATGGGACAAGTTGCCAGGGCTTCGAATATCCGTGCTGTCCATGTTCCAGATTCTCGGGCACCGGAGTTCTAGCCTCCCATTCGAGCACGACGATTTGCGACTAATCAGCACAAGATCACTAGCACAGCGACAAGCCTTGTCTGGTAGCAGATGCCTTTGCAAAACACCGCAAACACTGGGCGCACATCACAACTGCATAGAACATCTTGCAACCTGCCTCGCTGAATCTAAGCGCGAGCGTGCGAAGTCAATGCCACCAGCAAAGGCCAATCGACGGTCCTGAGACCCCAGATTCAGATGATGGTCTGAATACTTGACAACCGAGACGATCGCTCACATCGAGAATAGTCATCAACGTCTTTGATGTAATCGACTATCAGAACAGTTGCGTATGCGGTAAACGAATGGTCTAAACAAGCCCAGATGCAAAGATCGTTACCTTTATGTGCGCCGACCACAGCACCGTGACCTGACCAGATCTGACCAGACGGCCATCTTGCATACTTCTGCATTACGAATGACTAAACACATCTACTCATGTAGCCACGCCGATCTCGTAATAGAAGCTTCCCAAAAAGACAAAAACAAAAGAAAATGTCACAGACATACACTCATGCCCCGAGTGGTCATGCAAGGCCCACACCGTAGATCGGCTCGTATCCACAAGCCTGAGCCATGGGACCATCCGGAAATATGGCCAACGGCAAGTTATGGCAAGTGTTCAACATTGACAGCATGCTGTCGGGACCTCTTGCGTCACTAAAGCCACAAATGCTTCGTGCAAGTGCAGCTGGGATGCGTTTTCACGTTGGGGTGCAGCGCCCGCAGGTGTTCTGAGGGCTCTGTCACTGGGTAACCCATCTGCTCTGACAAGGCAGTCTGCCTGTCACAAAGCATGTCACAAGGCATGTTCCATGCAGAGGAAGCCTTGATTCAATCCAAGCGGCCAGAAGAGGTAGTAGATCACCGCCCCACGCTCAGCAGCAGACTTGACCAGATCCTTATGGCGTAACAGCCCAATATCCTCACGCAGGTGCAGGATATCTCTCAACTCAAGCATATGCCGTTGAAGACTGGGCACTTTCATCGTCAAATTCGGTGGCTGCCCATAGTCTGGACTGAAGATCTTTGCATCCTCAAAGCGCAGGCAAACATGATCAGGGCTGCAAAGCTTGCCCGTTCCTAAGTCTGTCAGGCTACGTAGACATCACAACGAGAGGTTCTTCTGGAGGAGGCTGTGGCGTTACAGCTCGTCTCATCTCGATAGCAAGTCATCACGAAGCTGCTTGGGCAAACAGATGACTGCGGACAGGCTGCTATCTCGGTCCACCAACCCATGACCTTGACACCAGGAAGCCCGGGGCTACCCTGAAAACTTGGAATCTTAATTACGCATGTATTCCTGATGATGCGGTCTTCTACCAACGGTCTCGGCTGCGGAGGTCAGGCAATGCTTGGTCTTATAGTTTCGAAGAGGACAAGCTGCAATGATCTCCTCAGCCGTCTGAAACTGCTGGTACACCTCCCGGTCCAGAAACATGTTGGCATGCGCAGCTTCAGGCAGATCTCTGGGCCTGGTGAAAATAGTCTTGGCCGCAATGAACGGGTTGTGCATCACAAGGAAGCCATTCGAATGTATGCCTGTCCCGTTTGCCATTACCCAATGGCCTAGAACGCAGTAAGCTTCCCTTTGCACGGGATACGTATAGCCATACATGAATGATCATTAGTATGATCCTGCTCGCTATCCCCTGTAGCCGTGTTGGCCAAGATCTGTGAAGGAACCAAACGTTCCACAAGAGCAGGAGTAACTGAGCTTTTAGCCTTTCTGGAACAAAGCTTTCGTTATCCGTCCGCTGCTCCAGCACCTGAATCGCTGATTTGCAAAACGGAGCCTTCTTCGGTATTTGCCTGAATCCTTTACCCTTCTCATTCAGGCACTGAGATCAGCACATGTCTAGCCGCTTCACATGCGCATATGCCGCAAAGCAGCCCCACACATCCTCGAGTGGGATAGGCTTCGGAAGAAAATGCTGCCGTGACCCACACCATGCTCTGTTGCACTGAATTGTACCGAGCTTCTCGTGGACCAGGTGCCCATAGGTCAAGTATTTCGCCAACTACGGACTGAGACTTTGGTCCAACAGCAACGGACAGGACGTCCAGACCGTTGCATATCAATGCATCCCAGCACTCGGCATTCAGTGTGCTTCAGTATGCAAGCAGCCATGACTTTCGAATCAATTGTGCATCCGTCATCATCCGTCTCTAACTGGGATTAGCAACTGCAGCACAAGAAGAATCTGGTGCCTCTCTGGGAGATCTGCAGCCAAGCTCTTCACTGACCTGGCTGAGCAAGGCTCCAAATGTTGTAAATTCCGACGTGTGTGCTTCCCCGTAAGCGCGACCGTGCTGGCCCTTCTCCTGCTCGTGCTACAGCAGCTGCCACTTCCTGCAAACTTAGGCCATGCATTGATCTGGCACATAATCATATATGATTTCGCGGGAGCTTGGTAGGTTGCCTCGTGGCCTCAATTGTGACGCCGCCAGTAACATGGTAAACTAGGTCGCAGACACCATAAGACTTGAGCACTGAGCATCCCCTCAACTAGAGGCGTCAGACGGGGTCGGATGCGAATCGCCTGCTTCTATCTTCTGATCATAAGCTTCAAAAAAAGGTGACAAACAAGAGTTTGTAGAATCACAAAGCCGCTGGGCCCCGCAGAAGGAACAAAGCGGCACTGCCAGGCGTGATAAGATCCGCTCAGAACAGCGGAGACCAAGCCATCAAGTCTTACTGCGAAAGACCGTCGTGAAACTGGCTCTGGGATGTCGATCATTTAGAGTACACTTAGGGTGTACATGTGCCCACACCCTCGGACATCCTAAACCTGCATCCAGAGCCAGAAATGTGATCAGCAGGAACTGCGTTAGTGAGTGACTGCTGCCCAGAAGGCTTGGGATAGAAGAGTTGCATCCTTGTCCAGGACAGAGTTTGAGTTTTTTGACCTCGGTCAAGCTTGCCAGAAATCGCTCATGAGCGAGTTGGGGAGGTCAAGCAAAAGCTCTTCTGCGAAGCAATTGCAAGCAACAAGTCGTAGACTTGTAGACGTCTGCAAAGACGGCCAAGACCTAACGCCACAGGCAGTCCACGCGTCTATGAAATCAGGCCGTCCCTCTGACTGGCTGCTCTCAACAGCTCAAAAATCCTGCACCGTAATTTGCACAATGCTGGAGGCCGCACTCTTGGCAGCTGCTTCGGCGCAGTGACCACCTGGGCATCGGGGCATCACCACAAGTTTCCGCATAGCACTGACTTTGCAGCAACCCAGCTGGAACCAGCTAGGACCCTGGGGCTGAAGCAGGATGGTTCTTGACCACGAGCTCCAAGAGCTGAGCGCTCGCCTTCGGACAGCGAACGCTGCTCTCTAAGTTTTCGGGCCATGTCGCGGTCACTCAGGAGCCAACCTTTTGGCCAATCTCCTTGTCATAGCGCGGCGGCATGTGGGACCTCAGCTTGGCCAAGCCCAAGGAAAGGCAGAGACAACCCGCATCCACCACAGCCGGGTTGTGGACAGCCACATCTGCCAAGCACCTGTGGAATCGCCTCCGACGTTCTTCTCCTGCATCTGTTTGCACATGATCATGGCTTGCATCAAAAAACGTGTGCTGAATGTGGCCTGCTTCCAATTCAGCATAGGGACAGACGTCTGCATCGGATCTACAAGTGAGCACGCTTGAAACGCTCCTGGTGCTCGCAGATCATCCCAAGTGCCCAAATGGACGCGTCGACAGCGGCTGCCACCTGCTTGGCCTGGACGCACAAACAAGCAGAGGTTCAAACCGCACTGGAAAAAGTAGAGAGCAAGTACATGAAATGCCTCATATTAAAGGTATGGAAGAGAAGATGATGCCTCAAGTGGTGCGTGGCACGCTGCGCAGCAGAAGGGCAGTGACAGAGCAGTACAGCATTGAAGAGATATGCATGACCAGAACAAGTCATTACGTGCCTCACTGTTGACTGCTCGACGTCTTCGATGCCTGGTCGCTTTAAACATTCGTACACGCCATCACATGCACAGAAGTATAGCCCAGCCTTTCACCATGCTTCGCCAAGACGCGCGCCAGTTGTGAGGCGGCCAACGGAGCGATCTGTGCCTTAAGTGGAAACCCATGTAAATCAACAGCTTTGCGTTCTCCTCAGTCGAACCCTTCCTGAGATAAAATGTGGGTAGGCATAGCAGCAAAAAGCAGGTTCCATAAGGGCTTGGCAAAGATTGCTTGCTGGGACCCGTGTCCAATCACGCTGGCTGAGTGCCTTGAAAAACAACTGTGTCGAGGCAAAGACCATCCAGTGCGCTGCGGCAAGCACAAAAAGCAGCAAGGTTTTGTATGTGTTCTGCATGCTTGAATTGCACACCTTCTGCGCTCTACCACCATGCTGGCCGATTGCAGGTTTGTTGCACACCATGCAACACTATGTACAGCAGGCTCAAAGCATGGCCAATTCATTTCTTGGAGTGAAGCTTGCTTTCGAGAATTCTCTCGATCTTTCGAGCTAGCGCCAGCTCGTCATCCATAGCAGATTGGGACCGGCCCTCTCCAGCCCGCAGCCTCTAGAAAGAAAACGAGCTGCTAAAAGCTTTGCTGAAAGCCCAAGAAGCACAGGCCTTATGACAGTGGATCCTTGGAGACACTGTGCACGTAAAAACAATGAGCTTCCTGAAATAATCCTGGCTGCGGGAAAAGTCTAAGAAGTGGTCTGAATCAAGCTTGAAAGATTCTTGATCTGTGTTGATCCTTTCTTAGTGAAAACTCGCGAAAAGGTTGAGGGTTTAAGGTTTGGGCTCAAAACATGCCTAAGCTTTTGGTTCCCATGCGCAGCTCCCCTCAACTTCACAAGGTCTCGCCCCATGCTAGGAAGGGGCTGGACCGCTGCTGGCCACAAAACTGCTGAAAACCTGCTCAGCCCACTGCCCTCCCACTTGTTTGCCTGGCAGTTTCTGCCAGAAATTGAATTAAAAGTTAAAGGGTCCCGCAGTCTATCCAACGCATCCACGATGAGAACACAAACCGTTCGCGCCAATCAACTACTGGCACCACCGAAAAAACCCTTTCAGATATCTTCAGACATCCAGTGGGCAGAGCCGCCGAACCCCTGACATCTCCAAAACGGCAGACTCGATATGGTGCTACCCTGCCCACCCTCTAAGCCTCGTGAGAGTCGAAGTTGCTGGAATGGTGTTGCGAGGAGAATCAGTTGTGACCCCGTTCATCTACTCTGCTGTGAAAGGAGGTGCCCTGTTCTAATTTACAGCGTGCTCATGAACATGATGCTTGCTACTTCAGAACTGCCTTAATGCCTCTAAGATTAGGTCCGGCCAGGATGCTGGGCAAAAAGGCTCTCCACCTGCTTGCCGTCCTGCTCATCAACGACCACATCTGCCGCTTCTGGGATGGACTCAATGCCTGAGTCGTTCTCGCCTGAGCGCATCGTCAAGCTGGCGCCATGGGCTATGAGTTCTGACAGAAAAGCTGGACTCAGCTGCCGAGGTACCCATGACAATCCGGAAGAAACCTTTCTCACCCCAGTCCTCACCCCAGCTGTTCTGCAATTTCCAATACTTCTGGCCACCTTCCTCACCGTATCCAACCAAGAGCACGGCATGGTCCACTCTCTCCCAGTCGGAGCTGCTGAAGGGGTGGAGGGCGCCTTTGGAGCTTGGGGAACGATAGATCCCATCTGAATACCACATGAAATCCTCCCCCGGCTCGATGCCAAGAATGAGAGGCCCATGGTGGAAAAGCTCTGCTTTGATTTCATTCACTTTGTCCCCATGCTCCCCATACCAGGAGCCAACGTATCTGTGATTATCAGCTCGATAACGTTTGCCTTTCAGACTCTTCAAGTCACACTCCAGCTCACAGTTTCCTTCTGTGCTGTACCTGCTGCATGCCCGACTTGCACTGCATCATGCAGGGGATGCAGTGAAATCTTGTTCTAGATTCTAGATATTTTGGGTCAAGCAGGTAGGGGACTGCAAGTCACATGGTTTCCGCGCCTCATGCAATCAGCAGGCAAAAGACCAACTTCTTGTGACCATTTGGCCGCCAGGATACCGTAGCCTTACATTGCTTAGCGCTCTTAAAAGAGCTGATGGTAGGCTGGGGGATCAGCAAACACTGAAAGGAATCTACAAGTTTGAGAATGGTGGTCCAATAAACTGACAGGGATCAACAAAAATTGGCTAGGGTTGATCGGAGCTCGTCGCAGCATTTGGGGCTCTTCAAAGGCTGATGCAATCCTCTGCATCAGCTTTTTGCTAAGTCTTGATAGGATTTGCTAGGATTTGGGGGGGCTGGTGGTGCGCCTCCCCTCTTTCAAAACGTTGACGAAAATTGGAACATTTTGCTTCTTGGGAAGTGTTGACAAGATTTGCCACGAATTGCGTTTGCCACAACACGTAGCGGAGGGGTTGGGGGCGCAGCCCTCTCCATTTGCAAGTCATGCATGAAGATGAGAACATCTAGCTCCTTGTAAAGTCTTGATAACTTGCTTCTAGGCATTGTGGTTGCCAATAAGAGTGGCAGAGGGGTTGGTAGGAGCATTCCCCCATGTGCACAACGCTGCAAAACATGGGCGAACACAAAAACCATTCAAATACACTCAGCTCCTTATATGGTTTGCCAAGCATTGCATTTGCTGCAAAATCCCGCGGGCAAGTTGGGGTGGGGAGTTCAGCACCTTTCAAAAAGATGATAGGCAGCCCCAATGCGCGTGAGCAGCGCTCAGGAAAGGCGAGTGCTAGCCAATGTAACTTAGAAAGTTGTAAGTCTAAGTGCGGTCAACGGTACGTTGACACTAGTTGCTGACCCAGCTTCAGTTCTTGGGGGGGCAACTTGACGGAGGCCGGGCCCATACACAACAGGGATGTTGAAACCATGAAAGTGGAATGGTGGAGGGTTACCAAGCAGTAGGGGACATAGGGGACAGCTCAAGTGTGGTGATGACCGTCCTGTATTGTTATAGTGATTGGAAGTAAGTCGTTGGAACATTCCTCACAGCCTCGCAAACATCCGCTCTTGCCGGTGCCCTGCACATGATTAAGCCTGCAGCCTGTCACGGGGCCCGTGTTCCAGCAGTGCCGTTGGATCCACTATCAAAATGAAAGTGGATGAGCATCTCGTCTCCTCATTGGTATTCCGCCTTTCTCGTGTTACCTCTGCAGGCCCCCCTTTGGCGAGAGCCTTGCTTCTGGTGTGACCACTCCTGTCACTCCTAACCTCCGAGTTCAGATGCCCGGAGAAACTCTCAAGTCGGGCTGGCGGTGTATCGATTCCTGTTTTCCTCCATCATGTAGCAACGGGGTCTGGGGACTGGCAGCTGCAGGTATTGCTCCGCCATACCACAACACGTCTCCAGTACTCTGCATCGTCCGGCGACTTCTCCCGCTGCAGATGCTCTCTCTCGGCAACCACACAGTGCCAGAAGGGATCTGACCCTCCCCCATTTCTTCCTCGCCTTCTTCGTCTAGATCTTCTCCTGCTAGCCCTGGTTCTGCTTGCTGTTGCTGTACTGTTTTGGGTTTCCTGGTTCCTCTGTCTGCTGCCTATAGTCTGCTCCATGGCTTCTTTCTCCCCTCTTCGCATTCTTGTTCTGGGATGTTTTGGGGCTTTTGGGGATCCTCCTAACTTTTGGCAGCCTTCGTGAGCCGGGGCTTTGAAGCTCTGCCTCTCAGGCCTGTCTGATTTCCTCCCGCTGGTCAGCGCTCTGTCCGCCTCAGCCGGTTCTTTGGACCCCAATTTGAAGCCGTCCTTCTTCTTCTTCTGCGGGCTGAGCCGGCCCCGTACGGACCGGCCGGCGCACTGCACCGAGCCCCAGCTGTCCAGGGTCAAAGTCGGGCACCAGTAAGTACACAAGCATGCATTCAGGTAGCTGGCCACAACAAACTACCAATCATCCAATCGCTACCTACCAGCTGCCCGATTGCTTGCCCTTTCCCACCCCTGGCTGTGACACGTAGTGAAAGTTACCCCTGTGCTCGCTGGATCAGCATACCTCCCGCTACAAATAGACTGATTGAAGACGTCCGGTCCTGTCGTTCTTTCTGTCTTCTTGCCTTCCTCTTCTTATCATACGGTTCTGCTTCCCGATGTCATCCTTCTCCGTTTTCTTTTTTTGGAGGAGCTGAGCTTGGCAGTTTTTGCAGGCTTCGAAGAGCTCCAAATACAGAAATCCATGGCATGCGAGGCTATGCTCACTGGTTTGATGCGTATCACTGGGCTGCCCTGGGCTAAGTTGACATACGGCACGTGCAGCCTCAAGATACAAGGTATGATCTAATTACATCCCAGCAGCCTCCTTTGCAGCCCTGGTTGTACTCAGAGCACCGCAAGGGAAACGAAATTGACCTGAGTCTTGATCACAAATTAGACCGCTTCCTTGCCGAACATGACAGCATTTCATTAGCTCAAAAGCTTTGTATTTATACTCTTCCACAATACGACGATGAACCTGATGCTGGACCCGACATGCGTTGTTGCGGATAGCATGTAAGTGCATTCCAATGTAACATGATGGCTTAGCTGCGTTCCTACATGCCTGGCATCCGGTGTAACTAGCACCTTCTCCGTGCACTTGGCTACCTGTGCGGTATCAGCAAATCTGCCGCCAAAGAGCCAGGGCACCGCCTCAGTGTCGTTCGTTTTGATCTTGTGCCGGGCTGTAAGCATGCGGATGGCGGAAGCCACATAGCAGCTTCCACATTCAGACTGGTCCATGACAGGTTCCAGGAAGCTGCGACCTCCCACGTCCGACCAGTCCCAGGACTCAGGCAGTTCAGCTCTGGAGGCACCCGTTTGCAGGAAACTCCGACGCTTTACATGTCCAGCAACCTGCTTGTATGATGCACCATGTTGTCTCAACATGTCTCCTGCACGGTTGTCTCGCTTGATACCAGCATAGCTATTCACCTGAAGCATGGACAAGCCATTCCACTTCTCCATTGGTCGCACACTCCATTTCAAGGATTCGCTTTGAATTCTCTGAGTCAGCCTGTCAACCACCTCGCGACGCGCAGTGCAAGGCTTCCGATTTCTGATTTGACATAGCATTTCATCTGTGTCCACCTAGCCCCAGTAGGACTACTTGTCATTTTGGCTTGCCTTTCGTCCCATGCTGGGGTGACTCAAATGTGATAAATGAAATGGATGTTGTTCTAAATTCTAG